GGAAATTGATGAGCAAAGCTGTAGAAACAGAACACCTACCTTCCTGAACAAGGAGCAAGAGGATCCCCATATGATAGATGAAGGAAAACCTTATACCCCCATTACAGTCCCTCCCGGCCAACAGTAATCTCACAATTTTGTAGGGATAGCATCTGACTTCCTTATGTACAAAGTCTGTGGCAAGGGGAGGTGATGAAATAGTCATCACTTGTCTAACGTACAGCATAAAAGAGTTCCAAGGTACATAAGGACAGATGAGCTAGGCTTTATAGGGACAGAGGAAAATAGTCATTTTAAGGGGGGGGACTGTGATGGATTTGGTAAAATGCCTATTTCGTTTCCTATTGAATATATATATACGCTATTTCTATAAGTTTATAAATATTTACTTTTATACTTTAATACTATTTCTTTCCACATATTTATATAAATGTTTAGCATGAATATATATGCTGTGTGAATATTTCTGCCTGCTGGGCTTTGTGGTACTTTAAGAAATCCTTGCTTAAGAAATATTTGCTCACAGGAACAGACCCCCTCCCATCGTGTGATTTGGAAGACAAAAGAATGTTTTTCTTTTTTAAGATAAGACTGAAGAAGATCACACCTATACAATGATGGAGATTGTTTTCGTGTAAAGTGACCAATCAAAGACTAATATAATGCTTATGCTGTTATCACGTGATGTTCGCATCATTTTTCATATATAAGCTCACGGTTTCATTTCAATAAATTAGAGAGAAGTTTTCACAGACCAAAGGTGTCAGTGTGAGTTTCTTTATGTGCGCACATTCCAAAAGCTGGCCAGCGTCATAAATTTTGGACAGGAACAGATAAGCACTGGATGATTAAGTCCATGACTAAATCAGTGGCATCCCAGCTTCAACATCTGGCTGGTGAGGTAACATGTACCTACAGGATTCCAACCAGAGAAATCCTGCTTTGTTCCTCCTCTAGATACTCCCGTCTTTCCAAACAGGTACCCTAGTTAAATATAAACACTGTCCTACGTTCTTTCTACTTGATAAGTAAAGGAATACAATGAAACTTGAAGATGTTTGCAAGGCTTTGACTTTTGGCACTGATACAAACTGCACTACATTTATTAACTGTATACAGATAATATGTTTAAAACCTTCGAAATGACAAAAAAAAAAAGAATTTTAACTACTAAATTATACCAGTATCTACAACTGCATCATGCCTTGGTGGTACAAATACGCTGGCAGAAAACTGCCCTCAGTAAGACACTTTAATATTCCTATTGGTACAAGCTATCAGAACTTTATGAACCTCATTTAGTCAAGAACTAAAATGTTGGACAGTCATGTTTTGTTTAAGGGGTAAGAGGAAGACCTGGGCCCTTGGCTGTGGTAATATTCTCCTACTCAAAAAATTAACTCAACTTCGCACAGAGTGTATCACACTTCAGAAATAAAAAATATATCCAAGGAACTGCAATGACACCTCAAACAGTCCTAGGTGTAGTCCAGGTCCAGCTGACCTTTTATATATGTTGTGGAAGTGTCCTAACCCTTTCACTATTGGAAATATATGGTAGACATAGAGATGAGCGAATTATTCAAAAATTTGGTTCGGCTGATTCGCTGAATTCGCCGAATAAATTTGCTTCGAGCCGAATATATTCGCTGCGAATTTAACTTATAAAAAGGGTGTTTCTAGGCTTCAGAGAGCCTTTATATTAGTGCAGAACACTGTACCTTTAATTTAAATGCCCTTGGAGTCTGCTGGGGAAGAGAAATAATACTGTCAGTCAGTATGACATGCAGATGAGTGCCGTCGATCTTAGAATCACCGCACACTTCACTCATTTGGGCAGTCACGGGGCCAAAACCAGAGTGTGGAGCCACAGTGTGGCGGTGGAGGCAGCAGCAATGGGAGGCCATACAGCACCCTATGACAAAATGGAACCCACCAGCAGTGTGAGGAGACCTGAAAGTGGCACATGGCAGAGTGTGGCGATGGAGACAGCAGCAATGGGAGGCCGTACAGGGACCCATGACACACTCTGGACCTGGCAGCAGCATGAGGAGGCGGTACAGGGGCCCATGACAGATTACGGGCCTGGCAGCAGCATGAGGAGTCGGTACGGGGGCCCATGGCAGATTACGGGCCTGGCAGCAGCATGAGGAGGCGGTACAGGGCCCATGGCAGAGTGGCGGAGCGTAAGCAGCTAAAATTGAAGGCCATACAGAGGCCTATGTTAAAAAGTCCCCCCAGCAGCAGCGTGGGGAGACGACTATCAAGAGTCCAATGGCAGAGTGGCGGAGCAGAAGCAGCTTCAATTGAAGGCCATACACAGGCCTAGGTTTAAAAGTCCCTCACAGTTAATTCCAATAACGAACTCTACTCCTCCGTGCAATCTACTTACGAGACCCTGGGCAGGTCTGGGTCCAATTTGTGGTAGAGACTGGTTTTGTTCAGCCATGCTTGAGCGAGTAATAACAGGTCTGTGCTGCCCTTTGGTGTCTGGCTTAATACGCACAACACTGAACGTCCCAGCGTTTGTCAACGATTTGCCGTTAAGTGATGCAAACCCGCTGAACCACGTTCATGAGGAGCCGGTACAGGGGGCCATGAATCAGTATGGACCTGGCAGCAGCGTGAGCAGACGACAGAGGCACATGGCGCAGGGTGGCGGTGTAGGCAGCATTATTCTGAAGCCATACACAGGCCTAGGTTAAAAAGCGGAAGCCGTCAGCAGCGTGAGCAGACGACAGAGACACATGGCGCAGGGTGGCGGTGGATGCAGCAGTATTCGGAAGCCAAACACAGGCCTCGGTTAAAAAGCGGAAGCCGTCAGCAGCGTGAGCAGACGACAGAGGCACATGGCGCAGGGTGGCGGTGGAGGCAGCAGCAATGGAAGGCCATACAGCACCCTATCACAAAAATGGAACCCACCAACAGTGTAAGGAGACCTGAAAGTGGCACATGGCAGAGAGTCTGGCGATGAAGTCAGCAGCAATGGGAGGCCGTACAGGGACCCATGACACACTCTGGACCTGGCAGCAGCAAGAGGAGGCGGTACAGGGGCCCATGCAGAGTGGCGAAGCGTAAGCAGCTTAAATTGAAGGCCATACAGAGGCCTATGTTAAAAAGTCCCCCCAGCAGCAGTGTGGGAGACGACTATCAAGAGTCCAATGGCAGAGTGGCGGAGCAGAAGCAGCTTCAATTGAAGGCCATACACAGGCCTAGGTTAAAAAGTCCCCCCAGCAGCAGCGTGGGGAGACGACTATCAAGAGTCCAATGGCAGAGTGGCGGAGCGGAAGCAGCTTCAATTGAATGCCATACACAGGCCTAGGTTAAAAAGTCCCCCCAGCAGCAGTGTGGGGAGACAACTATCAAGAGGCCCAATGGCTGAGTGGCGATCCGGGGAAGTCAGCATTGTGAATTGCAGATGCAATGCCAGAGATTCTATGAGGTGATGCCGTGGGTGCGAAGAAGATCATCATATACCGTCGTACTTCCATCCATAAAGACGGAACAACCTGCGAACCGGGAGCTTTATTGCCCTGACCCGCTGAGCAGCTTCTGGGATACCCAGAGGCCCCATGGCAGAGTGGCGGAGCGTAAGCAGCTTCAATTAAAGGCCATACAGAGGCCTATGTTAAAAAGTCCCCCCAGCAGCAGCGTGGGGAGATGACTATCAAGAGTCCAATGGCAGAGTGGCGGAGCGGAAGCAGCTTCAATTGAAGGCCATACACAGGCCTAGGTTAAAAAGTCCCCCCAGCAGCAGTGTGGGGAGACGACTATCAAGAGTCCAATGGCTGAGTGGCGATCCGGGAAGTCAGCGTTGTGATTGCAGATGCAATGCAGAGATTCTATGAGGTGATGCCGTGGGTGCGAAGAAGATCATATACCGTCGTACTTCCATCCATAAGACAGAACAACCTGCGAACCGGGAGCTTTATTGCCCTGACCCGCTGAGCAGCTTCTGGGATACCCAAGAGGCCCATGGCAGAGTGGCGGAGCGTAAGCAGCTTCAATTAAAGGCCATACAGAGCCTATGTTAAAAAGTCCCCCCAGCAGCAGCGTGGGAGATGACTATCAAGAGTCCCAATGGCAGAGTGGCGGAGCGGAAGCAGCTTCAATTGAAGGCCATACACAGGCCTAGGTTAAAAAGTCCCCCCAGCAGCAGTGTGGGGAGACGACTATCAAGAGTCCAATGGCTGAGTGGCGATCCGGGAAGTCAGCGTTGTGATTGCAGATGCAATGCAGAAATTTTATGAGGTAATGCCGTGGGTGCGAAGAAGATCATATACCGTCGTACTTCCATCCATAAGACGGAACAACCTGCGAACCGGGAGCTTTATTGCCCCTGACCCGCTGAGCAGCTTCTGGGATACCCAAGAGTTTGGCTTCTGTGGGGAATATGGGTTGAAAACTGAAACTTAAAGGCATGTTGACGGAAGGGCACCAGTGTCAGTGCTCCGGAGGGAATATAGCTTCAAAGCTGACACTTAAAGGTATATCGATGGTCAGAGACCACAGGAAGTGGAGCTTGCGTCTTAAATCGACTGAATGTGGCAGACGTGAAACGTCTACGGGCCGTATATGAAACGGGTTGTTCCTTCTTTCTGGAATAAGTGTTGGAAATGGCCACTCTTTTTGGTGTGGCGTTTTGTCTATTTAATTCCGATAACGGACTCTACTCCTCCGTGCAATCTAGTTACGAGACCCTGGGCAGGTCTGGGTCCAATTTGTGGTAGAGACTGGTTTTGTTCAGCCATGCTTGAGCGAGTAATAACAGGTCTGTGCTGCCCTTTGGTGTCTGGCTTAATGCGCACAACACTGAACGTCCCAGCATTTGTCAACGATTTGCCGTTAAGTGATGCAAACCCGCTGAACCACATTCATGAGGAGCCGGTACAGGGGGCCATGAATCAGTATGGACCTGGCAGCAGTGTGAGGAGACCCGAAAGTGGCACATGGCGCAGGGTGGCGGTGGAGGCAGCAGTAGTATTCGGAAGCCATACACAGGCCTAGGTTAAAAAGCGGAAGCCGTCACAGCAGCGTGAGCAGACGACAGAGGCACATGGCGCAGGGTGGCGGTGGAGGCAGCAGTATTCGGAAGCCATACACAGGCCTAGGTTTAAAACTGGAACTCAGCAGCGTGAGCAGACGACAAAGACGCACATGGCAGAGGATGGATCTGGCAGCAGTATGAGAAGGCGGTACAGGGGCCCGTGGCACAGTGTGGTGATGGGGGCTACAGCAACTGGATGCCAGAAAGTGGCCGATAGGGCTATATACTGCATGGAATTATAAAGTTGTAAAGACAGCGGCCTATAAGGCTATACACACTATAACAATCATGACTTGATTGACCATTGGCCTATAAGGCTATACACAGCATGAATATCATGACTTATTCTGAGAGTGGTTTGGAAGGCTATATACAAAAAGTAATTCATGAGCTGTCCGGACAGCGGACAATAAGTACATACATATATACAAATCAATTCATCAGCTGTCCAGCCAGCGGCCTCAAAGGCGACACATATAGAAAGCAATTCATGAGCTGTTCAGACAGCGGCCTCTAAGGCGACAGATATACAAAGCAATTCCCGAGGTGCAGCTTGCCGTTGGCTGTAAACTGTACGTTTTATGTCACTGGAATGCACTAATCACCCCAAAAAATATTACCGCCAGCCGGCGTGTAAATGGATTTAACTCTTTGAACGTACAATAGTGGTTGTGAAGCAGAAAGTCAGTTTATTGTACACAATCGGTCAATTGCAGCTTGCCGTTGGCTGGAAACTGTACGTTTCTGTCACTGGAATGCACTAATCACCCAAAAAATATTACCGCCAGCCGGCGTGTAAATGGATTTAACTCTTTGAACGTACAATAGTGGTTGTGAAGCAGAAAGTCAGTTTATTTAGCACAATCGGTCAATTGCAGCTTGCTGTTGGCTGGAAACTGTACGTTTATGTCACTGGAATGCACTAATCACCCAAAAAATATTACCGCCAGCCGGCGTGTAAATGGATTTAACTCTTTGAACGTACAATAGTGGTTGTGAAGCAGAAAGTCAGTTTATTTAGCACAATCGGTCAATTGCAGCTTGCCGTTGGCTGGAAACTGTACGTTTATGTCACTGGAATGCACTAATCACCCAAAAAAAATATTACCGCCAGCCGGCGTGTAAATGGATTTAACTCTTTGAACGTACAATAGTGGTTGTGAAGCAGAAAGTCAGTTTATTTAGCACAATCGGTCAATTGCAGCTTGCCGTTGGCTGGAAACTGTACGTTTATGTCACTGGAATGCACTAATCACCCAAAAAATATTACAGCCAGCCGGCGTGTAAATGGATTTAACTCTTTGAACGTACAATAGTGGTTGTGAAGCAGAAAGTCAGTTTATTTAGCACAATCGGTCAATTGCAGCTTGCCGTTGGCTGGAAACTGTACGTTTATGTCACTGGAATGCACTAATCACCCAAAAAATATTTACCGCCACCCGGCGTGTATATGGATTTAACTCTTTGAACGTACAATAGTGGTTGTGAAGCAGAAAGTCAGTTTATTTAGCACAATCGGTCAATTGCAGCTTGCCGTTGGCTGGAAACTGTACGTTTTATGTCACTGGAATGCACTAATCACCCAAAAAATATTACCGCCACCCGGCGTGTATATGGATTTAACTCTTTGAACGTACAATAGTGGTTGTGAAGCAGAAAGTCAGTTTATTGTACACAAACGGTCAATTGCAGCTTGCCGTTGGCTGGAAACTGTACGTTTATGTCACTGGAATGCACTAATCACCCAAAAAATATTACCGCCGCCAGCCGGCGTGTAAATGGATTTAACTCTTTGAACGTACAATAGTGGTTGTGAAGCAGAAAGTCAGTTTATTTAGCACAATCGGTCAATTGCAGCTTGCCGTTGGCTGGAAACTGTACGTTTATGTCACTGGAATGCACTAATCACCCAAAAAATATTACCGCCCACCGGCGTGTAAATGGATCTAACTCTTTGAACGTACAATATTGGTTGTGAAGCAGAAAGTCAGTTTATTGTACACAATCGGTCAATTGCAGCTTGCCGTTGGCTGGAAACTGTACGTTTCTGTCACTGGAATGCACTAATCACCCAAAAAATATTACCGCCAGCCGGCGTGTAAATGGATTTAAACTCTTTGAACGTACAATAGTGGTTGTGAAGCAGAAAGTCAGTTTATTTTTTGCACAATCGGCAAACTGCAGCACCAACTGTGCACGACAGCCACCAAAAAAAAAAAAGGGTGTATGTCACTTTAAATTTTCGATTCTTTGATAGCTGTGGCCCTAAGTAACGATTCTGTGTCCCTGAGTAACGATTCTGTGTCCCTGAGTAACGATTCTGTGTCCCTAAGTAACGATTCTGTGGCCCTAAAGTCTCTGTGGCCCTAACTCTGTCCCTTAATACACACAGGTCTGTCTCTCTCTTGAATGACCGGAGGCTAATGGAGAATTCTAAGATGGCCGCGATTTATAGCTCCACCATTACACAGTGCTGGCTGGCTGCTGATTGGCTAATGCGATCACATGTCATGAATGCATTATGGGTCAGCGCGCCTTGTCTGCGCGCCTTCCCAGAGATCCCCGCCCCATCTTCTCTGTCCATTTTCTCCGTCGCCGCCATTTTTGGGAAAATTCGATTCGTGCATCCGAAGTTTGCTAATTTTCGGATTCGTCGCGAATAGAATTTTTCCAAATCTTCGGAACGAATTCCACTTCGTCATGTTCGATTCGCTCATCTCTAGGTAGACACTATCAGTAGTGTTTTTCATACCACGACTATCCCCAAATATGCTTACTGGGTTTTCTGGAAGAAGAACCATTCCTCATAGAATGGTTCCCCAGTTTACCTCAGTTGTCAGACTCTCTTTTAGAACAAAAAATGATAGCACAAAAATGGTTTTCTCATAACCCACCAAAGTTTTTTGGAGTGGAAGACAGCCTTACCATACTTAGAGAGAAAAAATAGTTTTCCAGCATAGATGATGGATGTATAAACTAAACCCTGGGACCCCTGATTGTTGTTTCTATGCTTGTAACCTTAATTACCCAGAGATTATTACAATAACTCAATGATTATTACAATAACTCAAGCAATCAAATGAATACATACAACTAAATATGATCCAGGTCCAGTCTAGCTTTTAAGAAAAGTCAATACT